TTTGCGAATCTCACAACCAACTCTTGAATGAGCCTCACAACAAAATCGTGACAAATACCTCTAAGTACTTCAATGTTGTCACTGTTATTTTCTCTGATAAATAACATGATTCCGAAAAAACTGTCGTTTTTGTCATCCAATTTTGTTTTGATATTTATATAATATTTTATTGTATCACAAATTCTCTGATACGCCACTGGAAATTTTACATCTCTTCCTTGAAGCCATTGACTTACAATTTTAAGTGGCGCGAACAGGTAATCAATAAAATACAGAGCTCCGACGAATAAAGAGTCATCTAACGAAACGCGTCCAAATTTATTTTCAAATACGTTTTGAGGTACAAAATTGAAATTTTCTTTATTTAAAAAAAGTTGATAATTTTCAAAATTTTCAAAAATAGCTGAAGTCACAAATGAAGTGAAAAGAAACCGTGTTGTACTTGTACTAGGAATTTCGGTGGCACACATTTCAGTCTTGTTTTGTTTATTGAAACCAACCCAATCATTTCTGAATTTAGAATTTGTTATTTCATTCAGGAATTGATTTATTACACTTCCTTCGTTAACTTCAACAACCTTTTCACATGCCTTCGACAGTCTATGATCAAAACAATAATTATGTTTAAAGCGCTTTCGATGTTCAATTGGAACAAGTCTTTTTAATAACACGCCGATCGTTGTGTTACATGTGGTACCATCAAGTGAAATTCCTTTGAGTTGTTGTAAACTGAGTTTTGCATGATACAGTGCACGAAGAATCCACTCAACCCATGAGTGTGCATCACCTTCGCCGTAATAGTTACCAATTTTAATCTTTACTTCAGTTGTTGTGCAAAAGTCAAAACTAAAACGTGCATATAGTGAATAGTGAGTCTCTCCATCGTAAGTTTGTGAATCGGCGATTAAATGAAAGGGTGTTTTCAGTTGACCCAAATTTTGCAGACGTCTTTTGTCAACTTTATGTATAAGTTTCATGCGCCTTTCAATAGTTTTTGTGGAAACATTCATTTCAATTGAAGTTCCAAGTGTTATAATTTTAATCACTTCTAATATTTTCGTTATTTCATTAGAAGAAAAATCTTCGAGTGAAAAAATTAATGCCATTAATACAATTAAAAACCCCTTTTTTCTTTTTTTGCAATTTCCGTTTTGCTGTTTCCAACGCGTCTTTCATTTCTTCGTCTATTGCTTTGGTGAGATTGTTGACATGTGTAATCGGCGTTTTCGGTGTTTTCGAGAGTGTCCATTATAAAATTAAGTCGTTCGATATTGACAAGTTCATTTTTCAATTGAAGGTCACTTTTTATACAATTTTCGTCTTCACTATCGATATCGTCGAGCCAATATTCATTTTCATCTGCAACCTCGATATTTTCCGGGGGGTTTTTTGACGCGTGTGACTTAATAAGCGAAGAAGACAACTGTTGCCATATCCCGGATGCTTGACTCATTATTTCATGGACTCGTGTGTCTTCTATTTCGTTACATTCACTGCATTCACTTCCTTCATATTCTTCATTTTCATGAGCTTCATCTTCGCCTCCACTGTGCTCAGTTTCCAGGCTGCCATCAATTGGATCGTTTCCATAAACGAAGTCATAATGACCCATGATATCACCAAAAGTGGTCTGTTTCTTATCTAAGTTTGTTTCAAGATCAAATGGTGTTTGATCAACAACACCTATTGGTGTTTGTGTTGTGTCTATCATAGGGGGCGTAGCAGTGTTGGGTTGTGCTGTTCTATCCGGATAAGATGAATCGTTGTGCTCCTCATTGATACCATCATCGTTGTAATTGTTTATTATGATGTTTGGATTTTGTTCACAGATTTGATGTGAAACAAAGTGTGGCTCATTTATTGCAGGTTGTTGAATTGTTAATTCAACGGATATTGCTTGAAGAGCAATATTCACATCTTCAATCATTTTATTTATATTTGATGTGTTTACTCCCGTATTGATCAATGCATCTTTGACTCTCATCATTTGGAACTTTGACGCGTTTTTTATTTTCTCATAATTTGAATTTATTAACGAGTTGAGCGACAAATAATTTAGTATATTAAAGTTGTTAAATGCGACAGTTTGGAGCCTATCCTTTATTGCACAAAAGATGTTCACGTCTTTGTGGAGATGATTTTTGTAATGTTCTTTAAGAGCATCTCGCGGAAATTTCGAACAAAAAACACAATAATTCAAGCCTTTAACAAACCCATCAGGTTCATCTAAAATAAAAGGCTGGAACTCTAGAGTATTACCAAAAGAAATACATCTTCTTGATACTCTTTTTTCTTTTGAGAGTCGCGGTTTAGGCATTTAATTGTTATTTTGAGTTTGTGGTAAATTACCCTTAAAACAAACCCAGCTTGAAACTCTTATTTTATATGTTATTTTATTAATATAATTCTATTCATTTTTTAATTATCTTTTAGCCAAAAAGTACCATAGAGAAAGAATCACTCGTGCCTTAATAGTTAATAATTTAAATAAAAAATTATGTTTGTTTTAATATTTATATTAAATCTTAAACTATATTTCCAACACAAAATATTTTGAAATTATAACAACATTTCAGCTTTTTTATATTCATAGACTAGTACAATATAATTTTTTGTGTAATCGAAGCTTGTCTCTAATGTACATGATAACATTGGAACTGTTTGGTTTTGTTAATTCATTTACATATAATTGTATTGCATCGACCACACGTCTCAAACCCATTTTCGTCACACTTCCCAATAACAACTGAATATACTGCATTTAATGATTGGTCGAAAATATGCCGGCTGATTGTTACATCGGAAGTTTATTCTTGATATCTTAAATCAAGTGTAGTATAATTTGATCTTGTTTTTTGAAAGTCTTCAAAGATGTTTTGTTGCCATTTTATATAAGTTGTAATATCCTGATGTCATTTCGGCTGCGTGACTGTTGTCAGTCTACAACCATTGTACTTTATTGATTTTCCCTGCAAGTGCCAAATTGTTACCAAAGACACTTCTTGCTGCAGACAACACTTAGTTAGTATGGCTCAATAACAGGTCAAAGTACCATTGTTGAAACAACCTTTCATATTCGCTCTGGTAGTTGTCGTTTCCATTTCCATATAAATCAGTTGATGTTGG